ATGGGAACCTGCCTGTTTTAACTGATGAGATTCAAAACAGCCAAGAGTCTTCTTTTATTTCCCTCCCTTTTTGGCTTCACATACAAGTACATACACACCCGTTTCAAATAACCAACATTCCTGCCCCTCTGTAAGAGCAGCTGAAATCTCTAACATCTATGAAATGAACTTGGCAGTATGCATCCACATCTCTAGATACTACTTGCTGCCAGTTTCCCAGTACAGTAAGCTGCTTATAAAACTACTACACAAACTTTAAAGACATGCTGAAAACTCTAGTGAGAATTCAGAATTAGCTGTGTTTTTGAGGCAGCTCACTGTAAGGCTTTAAAGTGCTTTCTCTGGTTCAGGGAACTTCTTTCCCTTCTTTCAAAGTGTGAAATGGGTCTTTTTCTTTCCACTAGTTTTACTTTGGGCTTGAAAAATCTAGTTGAACAGCTGCTAACTTTTTCTACAGCAGTGCTATCCTTTCAAACACACAAAAGGAATATTAATTTTTACCGACAAGAATCTTATGTTATGCAGATGACTCCTGGCTATTATATTGTTGCTGAAATGTTACTCTGGAGGCGTCACACGTATGGCGAGCCTTTCTTTGCAAAACAAAATCATGGACAAGGGAATAAAAATGACAACCTTGCTTACAATGATAATAATGATGGCACTGTTATCAAATTATCTCAAATATTATAAACATTTCTGCTCCCAGCTATAGTTACATCATAAAAGCATGTAGCTTGAGTAGATTGCATAATATGCAGGTTTGGCATAATCAGAACCTAGAAAAAAGTATTTTATGAACTTGAACACCCTAAATACTCCAGTGTTTGCTAATGGATTCTGAGAACTGTGGTCCAAAAATGTAAGAGGTGTTGTATTTGGAGAGGGGAGTGTCCCACTAGTTATCTCTAGACCCTTCTGATGTGCTCTGTGTACGCTCAGAATAAACCTGTATGGTTGAATCACCGAGACCATGAAGCAGAACATTTTGTTATTCAGAAACTAAAATAGAAGTGGAAACTTCCATACTATCCTATACAAGGTACCAAAAGAAGCATAAGATTTTACTGCATTCAGACAAAGCAAAGTGCATCCTAAAGTGTTGAGACATTTTGAAAAGTTATACGACATAACAGCAAGAGGCAGAGCCAAAGCAGATGATAATGGCAATTCCATGTGTTTAATATAAAGGTAAAGGTTTCCCCTTGACATTAAGTCTAGTCGTGTCCGACGTTGTGGGGTGCTGCTCACCTCCATTTCTAAGCTGAAGAGCCAGCATTGTCCATAAACGCCTCCAAGGTCATGTGGCTGGATTGACTGCATGGAGTGCCATTACATTTCTGTCAGAGCAGTAACTATTGATATACTCACATTTGCATGTTTTTAAACTGCTAGATTGGCAGAAGCTGGGTTAACCATGGGAGATCACCCCAATCCCTGGATTTGAACTGCTGACCTTTTGTTCAACAAGTTCAGCAGCTCAGTGGTTTAACCTGCTGTTCCACCAGGGGCTCTGTGTTTAATATGGAACCACCTCAATCACAGGTAAAGAAAGGGGTGATGATGGGGGTTGCACCTAGTTCTCTTCTTGACCTCTCTTCTCTTATCACACTGCACTCAATGTTTGGAGTGATTTTTCTTTGTCTAAATTACTTGAAAGGATAATTGCACAAAAATAAAACCACAAGAAAGCAAAAGTTCACTATGCTGCATCTGCATGCTACTGCTGCAGCCATAACCACGGCCCCTTTTCTATATGATTAAGGCTGCTTCATTTCCCCTGGCACTATCTAAAGCGATCAGTTACTCAGTAATGCTTTATTAAAAGTTTTTAATCAGTGCTATAATCTCTAAGGGAGGAGTCTGAGTACGTTGCAGTCATCTGCACAGAGAACACTTTTTTTCCAAAGGTTATAAAGGCAATTAATCTCTCCTTCCCCCTTGGGATTTAATTAGGACAAAACAAGGATGGCATTGATGCCATTCGAAACATAATCTAAACATTTCACAAAAGCAACCATTCCTATGCTTGCAAGGTAATTGAGTTGTTTTTAGACAATTTTTGTTTCAACGTACTGGCTAGTGGTTTATTTACATAATGAATCTTGTACACATGTTCTACTGGATTCAGTTCTGCACAATAATCACAATGCTAATTCTTCTTGTGGTGTAGTTAGATCCAGGTGCACAATTAAGGAGATCAAAACCAACACACAAACACAGTGGATTGCTTGGTACTACAAGTAATTATGAGCAAGGAACATATCACTTCTAAAACAAGACTTTGCTAGTGCTGTTACACCTGGGGCTTACACAGCTAGATATGAGCTGGCAATTCAATGTGGTCAGAAACTGAGGCACCTTCCTGGACAGATTTGTTTATAGTGTATTACACTGGGAGGAAAGGAAAGATGACCCACTGTACAAGCAGAATTCTGCTCATTCATTGCTGGATAGAAGCAGCTCTTCTACTATCCAGGGAGCATGGTCCGCAAGGTAGTAGGCAAAGCAGGACAGACATAGTTCATTTACACTTTTATCCCAGACATTTTTCTGACTCTTGTTTTCCCAATAATACTTGGGAGGGGAGGGGGAGTACATACTATTTTAATCTATCTTGGGTTCAGGAAGTGTTTCAACTCATATATTAAACAGCATCCCAAATTAGTTTCAGATCCAAGTATTCCATCACCATTTAGAGGATTTACACTAACCACTATCAAGCACAATAATCAAATACTTATTATTCATTTTTAAAAGAAATGTGGTGATTTAGCTGCAGAAAAACCAGCCAAGATTATTTTCATGCACTGCAGTTCCCTTCTCTAAATGTTTAAGAAAAAGTATGCCAAATAAAATTTGGCAGTCTTTAATGCAACATAATACAATTTGTTTATGTATGGGATAATTTAGCACACAAGTATAGAAGGATTTAGTTGTTTGTAGTAAGAAAGAATAATATTCGACATTCAAATACATTAGCTAGGATACATTGCATTCTCTTGTAAGCAGATTTTAGACACTCATTTAGCATGGAGCTGTTTGGGCTGATGAGACAGTGCTGGGGAATAAGGCCTGCACCAATCAATCAAACTGTCACATTTGATAAGTGCAGGCTTAAATCATGTCTCTTTTGGTCACTCATCTTTTCAGCTTGTCATGAAATGCCCATAGCGCTCTGGCAATTTTAAAATGACTTGCCCTCTTCAGATGATATCCTACCATGCAGCTACCTTGAAGGTATTTCCTAAGGTCACAAGGCAAACCTACCTATGTGTGCACATCTTTACACAACTACTTCTGACACATAAGGTATGAGACTCTGAGGCTAGGGCTCAACTGCAACCCTTTGAAGCATGAAAGACAAATATAAGCTGCCAACCTCCATCCCTTGCCAAAGCATGGAAAACTTATGCTTTTGAACTACAGAAACTTCCAGCAAACATGGCCAATTGGGTTGTTGGCTGGGGGATTTCTGGGAGCTGGCTGGGGAATTCTGGGTAAAACTAACTTTTCAAACTTCGTTTCTGATCTTGTTCTACCACTCAAGAAAATTATTCATTGATTCCATGAAGTTAAAAGGACTCTGTCCTATCTTGCTATTTGAGAGTGCACACACATGTGTATAGACATACAGAATGACAGGTCTGAATTTATGTATGGGTAACTTTTCTGGACTTGTGATGTAAACTAAGACTAATGCAAATAGGGAAGCCATTTGCATAGACAAACATTGGAAAACGATGGGACACATGCTGATGGAGCCGAAGCACCAGAGTTAGCAATTTTACTCAGCCCACCTCCAATTTTAAAAAGGGTTAAAACATGAAACATCAGAGTTCACATCTTCTAGGTTAGAGAAATGTGGAGATATATAGGAGAAACCAAAAGAGGTCACTATTACTGATATCAAGGGGGCTTGGATGGGATGAACTGGCTTGCAACTATGATTGCTATAAAGTAGTAGTTCTCAGCCTGTGGGTCCCCAGACGTTTTGACCTTCAACTCCCAGAAATCCTGACAACTGATAAACTGGCTGGAATTTCTGGGAGTTGTAGGTCAAAACATTTGGGGACCACTGCTGTACAGCAATGAAATGTATTTAAAAAACACAGCAAAGCAGCCCTCCAACAGCCCTTGCACAAATGCCACACTCATTAAACTTCAACATTTTAATTTATTTATTTATTTTTCATCCTGCTCATGTCTGCCTGCCCTCTAGTTAGCTTGCACTCCTCTTAGGCTTGCCTTCCCCAACAGTTCCAAGCTCTTCCACTTGGCAAGTTTATTCTAACTGTTCTCTTAATAGTTTTCACCTATTTCTGCCTCCCACCTTCTGTGCTCTTTCAATCCCTTAGTCTCCTTTCCTCCATGTTCCCACAACTGTCCTTTTTTGATCCCGGTGCCTTCTTCCTTCGCTCCACTAGCCTCGGAATCTCCATTCCTTCTCACCTCCTTGTCTTTCCACCCTACTTGTTTCCTCTCCTTGCCATTACTTCTGCCATTTCTCCTCTCTGGCTTTTGCTCCAACTTCCACCTCATCTTTGTCTCTTCCTTTCCCTTCCACTCTTGCTGCGGCATAGGTTTGGTTTCTTCTGACCCACTTTCAGCCTCACCCTTTGGAGAGCCTCTTTGTGACTCCTTCCCTCCTCTTTTTTTTCTCGTGCAACATTCTTCTTTCCATTCCTTACTTGTTATCTCACTTTCAGCTTCCACTTCAATCTTTTCTACTATGGCTTATATTACAAATGTCATAAATAGAGGTGATATAAATAGTAATTAATGGGAATATATATTTCAGAAATTTAAGCATTCAGGAAAAGAACTAAGCTAGGAAGGGAGAAAGATTTAAAAACATACTGGCAAGCAGATTTTCTAAGCAAGTTTGATGCTTAAGTAATCTACCTTTTTGTGGGGCTATGTAGAAAACTCAAAAGAAAATAATCTGATGAGAATAAGCTCACATAAAGTTTAATGCATACATAAAAAGGAAAACTTACTTTCTTTCTGTTTCTGGTGTTGATACTGTACTGCTGAAGCCAAGGGATTCCTATAAGAGAAGATTCATTGCTTTGAGTTGAGACTGAACAACAGCAGGCTTTATTATCTGACCAATGCAGAATACCAAGTTGATGGTAGAAACAGAGAACAGATCATTGTAGCCATTGTACTTACTTCAATCTGGGATCGCAGCTGTAGAGATGTGGAGCTGGCATCAGGTTTCTCCTAAAACAGGGCAGATGTCAGATTAGTCTAACACAGGAGTAGGATGGGGGTACTGACAACCAAACTAAAATCAAATAGCAATAGAGAATGGGACTTAGCTAAGAAACCAATTCACAAACCATCACTGTTTAGATATGGCCAGAGGAGGGCTATAGTGAACCACTATGTCAAAGGAATGCATGAATCCACAGTTAGACATTAAATGAAATGGGAAGAATGTAATGTGATCCCATTTAATGTGATCATGTGGAATGATCACTAATCATATCTGGTTTCATTAGAACCACTCAACCCTATTTTTCTGTTTCCGTCATATTTTGCTTTCCTTGCAATATAGTATGTGATCACTAGATGGCTCAACATGTAGACTAAATGTCAGGCACTGCTTAAAAAATTGGTAGATTTCAAAGATATAGTCGTGTTAGTCTGGAATATCGCATGCAAAGGGATCTTGGTAGCTAGATCCTTAGAGACTAATTGAGAGAATTGTGTTGTCATAAGCTTTCATATACTAACTCAACAGTTCCATCTGAATAATTTCTACCTTTTTGAAAGATAATGTGCCCCCCCCCCCCCATTTTTCTTAAAACACTTTCCTGTGTGGCACTTTCTGATTATATTTGTTCCATTTACCACACAGCAATACAAGATAAATAGGTAGAAATACAGGTGAGCAGACAAACACAAGAACTAGGAAGAATATGAACACCAACAAACCACACAATTGAGAGTAAAACTCTGGAATAGAGGTTTTGTCCATATTCAAACCTCTGTTGGCTGCCAAGTGAAGAGATTGCAAAAGTCTGATTCAGCTAACAGGAGAGTAGAAAGGACAAATAGAAAAATAATTATGCTGTTATATCTCCTAAACTATTTATGAACATGGCATGGGAAGCAGGGAAAAAATTTCTATAGAATAGCCGTGTCTGAAATAGATCCTATATGAATTTTCTCACCAATTGGTGTGTTATGTGCCTTCAAGTTTCTGTCAATTTATGGTGACCTCATGAATTTATTTGGGACTTTGAAAGGCAATAAATACTTCAAAGTAGTTTTGCCACCAAAACCTCTGGATTTATTTTTGTTATATGGTATGTCATGATTTTTAAAAAAAATGATAATAAAATATATGTTTTAAAGAAAATATGAGAGATTTGGAATTTATGCTAGATTTTAGAGTGTTAAGCTCATTACTTCATCCAATGTAAATTTATTTCTATGCTTTCCAATATGGGGACCTTTCCAGAAGAATTCCTGTTGAAGAAAATTCACTGGAATCAATTTCAGTATTGGGAAGGAAAGGTGTGGTTCCAAGACTTCTAAAAAATCAAAAACTTCCATTATGGATAAGAAAGAAATCCAAGCAAAGAGGATGCTTATACATTTAAGCATTCCCCACTCTCTATAGAGAACCACTGAAAAACAAAGTTAATAACTAGAATATCTGAAGTACTACCCACTGTTCCAGAAACATGGGCATTGCTTCTATCATCTTTCAAGGTCTGTGAATTTTATTACGCAACTTATTCTCCTCCCTTCCCCTCCCTATTTCATGACAACACCTGAGTGATGTAAATACATGTCTATTGATAGGCAGTTATAGTACAGCACTAAGTTCTACTGCATACATGTAATTTTTTATCTATCTCCTAACTATGTTTAGGAAATCAAGAGTTGTGTGGATTGTGCTATCCCTTCTGCTTGCTCTTATGAGTAAATTCCCCAGTTCTTCTCAGAGCAACATGGTTATTTATTTTTATTTATCATGTCATCCGCAACCAGAACATTGTATTACATTTCTAACAGAACAAAACAAACAGATAAAAAACCCACGAATTTTGCAAACTCGGTAGCTGATTAAATGTCCTTTGACCAGTATCTGGCCACTTGGAGTGCCTCTGGTGTTGCCACAAGAAGGTCCTCCATCGTGCATGTGGTGGGGCTCAGGTTGCCTTGCAGCAGGTAGTCAGTGGTTTGCTCTTCTCCACACTCGCATGTCGTGGATTCAACTTTGTAGCCCCATTTCTTAAGATTGGCTCTGCATCTCGTGGTGCCAGAGCGCAGTCTGTTCAGCGCCTTCCAAGTCGCCCAGTCTTCTGTGTGCCAAGGGGGGAGTCTCTCATCTGGTATCACCCATGGATTGAGGTGCTGGGTTTGAGCCTGCCACTTTTTGCTGAGGTGTTCCAGCGAGTGTCTCTGTACATGGGTACATTCACATGACACGGTAAGCCAGAATTCTGAAGGAATTGTTGTTTTCCACTGATGGGTAGTATACTATTGGATGTTGCTTGACTGATTCCAGTTGGCTTGCTTATCATGTCATGGAAAGGTACAGCCATTCTCTGGTTTCCCTCCCAACAAATCAAATCAGAATGCACACTTTATTTTAGTCTGTACACCAAAGTATAGTGGTTGAGCATTGGGTTCAACTTTGTGCTCAGTCATGGAAATTCACTAAGTGCAAGTCACACTCTCTCAGCCTGGACCAAATTGAAACGAGGTAAACAAATATAAATTGCTTTGAACTGGTTTGCCTGATTTCAGCAATTGTAAGTGAGGGAAATAAAATAGCCTCTAAGGAGGAAAGATTTGTGATCTCTCTTTCTTGGGAAAAACTGCGAAAATAATATAAACCTAACTAGACAAATCAATTGATATAAAATTAGCAATAATTAAAGTCGTTAAGTCTTTCCCACTGCCTACCATTTCTCCAAACAATCTGAAAGTACAGGGCTAGATGTTCACATGCACTCTTCCTTCCTTACAACACTAAGGCCAGAAAGGGAGAAAAGGCACCAATATTTGTTGTTGTTGCTGTCATGTGCCTTCAAGTCCTTACTTTGACATTACTTTGAAGTAAACTATCACAGGATTATTCTCCTCCTCTCAGTGCCAAATAAACCAAAGGGAAGGGACATTTTACCAGCCACCACACCCCGCACACTGCATGCACTGACACAGAGCAGTCTGCTGTGCATTGCAAGAATTTTTCTTCCTGGCATCTGAGAAACAAATATTAGGTGTGGCCTGGTTTATTTGGTAGTGAAAAGAAAAGCTTTGCACTGCAAATGCTTTGCCCAAGATGTAACCTCTGTGCAGTTACATCCCCGCCTTTAATCTCTTTTAAGGGATACTTTGGTTACCTAAGCTGACACTAAACCAGAAAGATTTAAACTGCACAGTAGATTCCATTGTCAGAGGAAGGTGGAGTGGGTCTCCTCCTCGTCCTGAATTCTCTTGAGGAAAGTACCAGCTGCATCCTGTGCTAACAAAATCCAGATTCTGCTCTGCTTCTCTTCTCATTTATTCTGTACGCAGTCTCCCTTGTCTCTGCATCTATAAAGCCACACTGTTCTTCAAAGTTCAGTAAGAAGCCTCCGCAGTTAGAACAAGTAGCATTTGCTTGACAAATAAAGATGTTTGGGAAGAGAGTGGCTCTGCTCATAGTTTTGTTTGGGTTCTGGCACTATTTAAATACCCTGGACTTACATGTGGCTGTGCCTTAGGAAGGGGAGGGGGGGTGGTAGAAAACCTCCACAGGTGAACTCTCACATAATGGTACAATGTATAAATAAACAAAGAACTTGTTTCTCACCCAAGGTTTTGAGGGATGTGTTTTGAAAGATAACCATACCTCTCAAATCCAAACCAAATATTTACAAGAGAGGCAGAGCTGTGAGGAAAGCAAGGTTATTCTAACTGAGCATTAATTTCCAGCATTTTAAATCACCCATGCTCAAGAATATTCGGGGTAGCTGTGGTTGGCCATGAAGCAAAACATAACAAAATCCAAAATCCACAAAACAGAGATACCATTATTGAGACTACTAAAATGCAGAAAATATATTCAAGAATTGCTATTAATGAAAACCTTGAATATGTGCCATGAGCTGAATATGTGAATGAGGTAAAGAAACAGCTGGACAAAATCCTGGCTACAGTCAAAAAGCTAATTCCAGCTATATAACTCCTTTATTGAGCAATATCCTTTCCTTTCACTCCAGGAAATAAACACAAAAGTTTTGATTTAAGACAGAGAAACTTGTGTAGCACAAAGATCATCAACCAGGTATGTAAACTACTGTGTGAGTTTTAACACGTCTTAATAAGACTAAGGGTGCTTCCACACAGGGCATAAACCCGTTTTGGAGCGAGTTAAAGAAACCCGCTTCAAAGTGGGTTTCAAACACTCCCCTTCCAAAGCCTAAAAAATGATGCACCAGGAGCTGGAGGGGATTCTCTCTCCCCCCTCCCCCCCCCCCCCCCCGACTCCTAGCATGTCATTTTTTATACACCAGGAGCCTCATGGCAACCCTATGAGTTTTTATTTAACTCACTGGGTTGCCATGAGGCTCCTGGTGTATAAGAAATGACATGCTAGGAGTCGGGGGGGGGGGGGGGGTAGAGAATCCCCTCCAGCTCCTGGTGCATCATTTTGACGTGCTGGAGCAGCCTCATGGTGACCTAGCCTAGCAAGGATTTATTTTATTTTATTTTTATTTGGAGTGGGAGTGAGGAGAAGGAGTGCCCCTCCTCGCTTCTCCAGGTTCATGGAGGCCAAAGAAGTGAATTGGGCTGTGGAGACAGACTCCTGGGACTGTGGAAGCAGTCTCAGGTGTCTGTACCCACAGGGCCCATTACCCATTAGAAAAGGGCCTTTTAGGAAAGCTCAGCTGTAACGGGGTATCTAATTAATTCGGGACAAAACAGGGTTCTCCTGCTTTGTTCTGATTTAATTTACTTTTATCTGAGGCATTATTTGGATGCCTCAGGTAAAAGTCCCGCATTTTGGGCCTTGTCAGGAAGGGACCTTATTTATCAAATAAGGGGCTATTTGTTTCAGATTTTAGTTCAAACCACAGATCCAATTACTGTTTTGATTGCATACTTTTTAAAAAGAACAAACACACCCCATTCTTGCTTCAAAGATCTTAAATTTATTATAGTTTCAGAACAATGATGGAAGTCGGGTTAGTGGCTTGTGCTTAGCTATGTTTAAT